AGGTGATTTCAAATTGGAACTGACTCCAGAATCCAGGAATTGTTTGGCAGCAGAGCTAACAACCTTGGCACCTTGCAGTCCTTAAGTAATGGCTTTCAACATACGGTATGGAGGGACTACAAAAAACGTATCTGCATACCCATCCAGAACCTGCTAAATGCCGCACTGCAAAGGCACGTTCAAAACATTCATTTCAAAATGCACACTAAGAAAACAGCAAAAAAAGTAGTCTAAACTTCCTGATGGCTTTCTAGTCTTGCAGATGATGCGCATCCATTAAGTGGTGGAAAGAACACCTGCGCTCTCCACATCAACATTTGTCAAGCATAGGAAAATATTCCAACAAGGTAACCAAGTATAAACTAAGTCATTATCAATGAACTGACATATTTTAATTGCTTCTTGAGTAAAAAGGGAGAAACGGCACAATGAACACCAGCCATCTGCTATCGATATTATTTGCCAGTTGCTGGTGCTTTCGTACCTCTCTGAGACACTCTGCCTGAAGGCTAACAGGCAAATTAAAACTGCAAAAGTTGTGCAGAAATTCTTTAATGATACTGTCTCTTACGGTTTTAGTTTCTTTTCTCAGCCCCAATTAGTTGTCTGCATACTGGGTTCAAATACTGTCTTAGCAGGATCTACTGGAGAAATGTTTCCAATAGACTGTGCACGACAACTGAAAAAGAATTTAAGAAATATAACAGCTGTGAAAACACACTCTATGTGCTGTGTAGTTTTTGAATATTAAGCCATGTTTAATTATTCTCCTGTCCTCAAAAAGCTGTGGAGCCAGAACTGTTTGACATTTAAAACTTGGAATCCACTCTAAAAGCTTCCCTATTTTAAACAACATGTAAGAAGGCCGACTCAGATCATTTCCTTCTTAGTACCAACAACTGCAAAGAATTAAACTGTCAACATTTGCTTTGCGAAAAATAAAAAAACAACCAAATATGTATTAATTTACCTCTAATCAACAGAGGCTTAACCTGAAATTATTTATCCTCTGTTGAAATTAATTGCAAAATAAATTTACCATATAGTGGCAATTAAAAGATATTTTTTTCCTGCAGCAGAACACAAATCAAAATTAAATAACTACATGCTAACAGCAATATTTAGTGATCTTACAACATATTTGTACAAGAAAGAATGGCAGAATTAATCCATCAATTGAAGTGAAATATAGCTTTTAAGCAGGATACTAAAATAGGACAGAGACACTTCCTTTTTTCATAGCAAGTTCTGCACTCACATTTACTAATACATTTATTATTACGGAATGAAATCAACTTATTTTGCCCCTATAACTGCGACTGGCAACACATCTAAAGCTATGAGGTCCATTCTTCTACAGCATAACTCACACACGCATCTAATCTGCTTCAACGTTAAATACCTGAAAGAGATTTATGTTACAAAAATAAACTTCCAGGACATTTACAGAATAATTTTAAGGCATCTTTCTACAGCATCTAAGTTGAGGTGTCTGAACTGAACTGCTTTTCCCTTCTGTTCCCATGCTACGAAAAGAAAGACTTGGGTTTTACAGGGTAATTAGCAGCAGTTCAGGACTTAGGAGCTGACATTCATCTGTACAAGAGCCACGAGATATCCAGACTCCCCAAAGCAGATGGGAAATCAGTGCTACATCTGTGCAAAACCTGGGATCCCGTGGGCTTGGCCATACCTCAGCAAGATAAAGCGGACAGTGCAGGGAATGGAAAAGACTCAGAGTCTGAAGATCTATAGCTTTACAAAGACATCCGCAAAATGTAAGCAACCAACAAGTCTTATATTAGACTCTCTCCGACTTCCTGAACCCCAGCCGCTCTGGAAATTGAGCACCCAGCTCAAATTGCACCAAACAGTGCTCTTACTCTTTATTTCTCAGACATGTGCTTTGATCTTTTGAGAACACCCTCTGCAATCACAGTGCATGTTTTGAGGATCTTTAGATGTCCTTCATCAAGAGGACACAAACGAAGAAAAAATCTTTTCACCTTTCGCTTTCCAGTCTGCTTTCAGCTCCCAAAGAGTAACACTCCCCCACCTCCTTCACCAACACACACACACACTCCCGATTTTTCACTAAATGAAAAAAGGAAGCCTGTGTAATTTATGAAGATGTATCGACTTTCCTGTAAAACCTGGTTAGCACCTAGTTTGTCTAGCACCTCTCTAGTAAGCTGTAATTGCTTTCCATCTGCTTTCCTTCGAATTCTGTGCTCCCCTCAGTTCTTAATAATGAGCTACGGCTTTTATTTCTGATCATGACTCCTATCTTGCCACATCTGTATTCCAGCACACCTTTGTTCTTAGGAAGCACATAGAATTAAACTGTAAAATGTATTTATGTGCAAGAGGTATAGTATATGAGAATCCATGCTGATTAGGTCCCTGTGCAATCAATACTGAATGGGGTGCTTGGGCTGATAGGTAATAACCTTCAATCAATTTTAATGATTTTACAAGAAACATAAAATTAGGTCCTGGACCTGGAAAGGAACACAGACATATTTCATTAATTATACCGTGTTTCACAAGATACAGAGTTTAATTTTCTTGTGTGTACTATTGAAAAGCACAGAGTGTTCAGGGAGATTTAATGTAGCACCACTAGATCGAAACACTAAGGCTGATACAGAGCACAAAGAGACACTAAAAAGGCTGGTGATTTGTACCACTGTGGCAAAGGACAGTCAGAAAGTCCCATAGTACACTACAGGAGGTTGAGATCACCTCTAGATCACCGCTAGATCTCTTAAAAGAAGTTTAGAAGCAGCAAATCCAAGTGAAACAGGACTAATCATGACCTCTGAACCTCCTGACCTGACCAGGAGAATTCTGTCTCAGCAATGCTTGATCTGCAGGGTTAACTCAGAGAGAGGGCGTTGTGTACCTTGGCCAGACACTGCATCTACGAGAACCACACTACTCTATTAGTGAGAAAAAAAAACTTAATCAGCTAGTGAGCAATAAGGAAAGCAGGCCTCCCTTTCCTTTAAAACTGGGTCAATATATTAAAACCAGTACAGATGTAGGTTTAAAGTTGTACATAGATGTGTATATAAGACCAATAGATATCTTTAGCACAGAGGAAAAGTTAATGTTCATGTCAGAGTAAATGCTATAACTAGTGGCTCATTGATCCAAGCAATACATTGAGCCATGTCTTGAAATGAGCTACAGTAGGATATTAGCTTTGACAACATGGTTTGTTAGCTTAAAAAACTGGATAGTAAAATATGTGCCTGCTGTTTTGAGTCTTTAATGCACTTTCCCTTAATTTGCAATTCTGTCCTCTGATTTGTGTTTAATCTTTAATTCTGAATAAGTCCATAATTACAGCTGATCTTGTCAATGCGTTTAAGAATTCTGAATATTTGAATCAGTAATCCCTCATATTCTCCCAAGGACATCTTATTTTGGGAACATGTAGGACTGTACTGTATCTACTAAATAAGTGAAACAAACTTCACAAACATTCTCCAGGTTTCACCAGGACAAGTGGATTTAAATTGGATGGCTGGAAGATCACACACAGTCTATTTAGCAATTCATAATAAATGAAAGCTTTTATTAAATAAAAATGAAATAAATAAAACAGTACATACAAATTCAAGGGGAAGCTCACCAAAGAATCCAAGCGGCGCGTCTCTTCTTTTTAGCAAGCGTGAGTTTAATACTATTCTTACTTGCAGTGCAATAGAGGATTTAGACCTGGGGATTCATCCCCATTGAAGACACTGCTGTTGTACACATCAATCTATTTTTTTTGCCACTTTATAGAACCAATTTTTTTCTTCTGTGGATTGAAGAGAACTTCTTGATGTGCTACTATACTGTAAATGCGTTCCCACAGATTATGAACAAAAGAATGGTTTCACACAAGAGGAAGAGATTTAGGTTCCAAATGTACAGCACATCTACCTCCTTTCATGTTACTGATTTTAATTATTTCTCTGCCGATTGGTTCCAGAGGCTCAGATGAACTATACTGCAAAAGTTGTTTACTTGAAATAAAGTTCGGCAGTCCAAGATTAGTTCTAATCAGGGTGTGTGCAGAACCTCTTGCCTGTTATCCGTATATTTATTAATTGTATCATTACTTTGAGTGACTCGGCCGTCAATGAGATGCTGATAAAGCCCTGAGTCAGAGCTGAAAGAGTGGTCACAGAATGGTGCGTGATGTGAGAGGGCTGCCATGGTCACAGCCCTCCCTTCAGCAAACACAGCCAGAGTCTGCTTTGATGTGGCACTTACGCACTGCTCTCCTTGTCATATTAATTCCAGAAATAAATAGATATAATTCTGTTTTGTTCTCTGTATTTTCTTTTTTTTCTTGTGATAAAGGGAAGGATTCCAAAAGGCGACTCTGAATAACTGCCCAATGGCTGTTACACTGAGGACTGATTGCCTTTGGACTGCTCCATACTCAGAATTCAGGTTCACTCTTAGGCTAAACCCTTGTTCCATCTGCCACTGTTCAGCTTTTTGGTCTGGTTTCAGCTTTTCAGCCTCTGAAAGCAGTGTTTAAAGAAAGCGGATGGGCTTTAGAGAGATGTAAGGCAGATCTGAACCATTAGAAATCTCACCATACTCCACAAAGTGCTGCTACCTAAATTTGCTCCTATTTGCTTTTGACTGTCTCTGACTCTTACAAAGGTACAAAGGTTTGAAACACATCACAGGTTTTAAAAAGTGGATTTCTGTTCATTGACGGCTAGGACAAAGATGTCAGAGACAGGTCTCCCATGGTAAAAGTCCCGAAGCTTTTAGATTAACTTACAACCTCACCTGATCTGAATGGAGGCACTTATTTTATAATACTTATACTAATAATTCCTTACACTTATATAGCGTTTTTCTGGACACCATACTCACAGCGTCTCTGCCATATGAGCCGTCAAACATAATACAATGAAATAAGCCCTCAAAGAGCGTTCATTAAATCTTGGTGACAGGATAAAAGAAATAAGGAAACCAAAGCTTACCTCCCACTCACAACAAAGCATGCCACAAGAAATATGAGCAGAACAATTCCTCCTGCAATTGACACGGCAAGGATAGTCGGCTGGTTGGGGTCACCAATAGCAAGCATGTCTGTGAGGAGTGAAGAAAAAGTTACAGTACAGGTCCAAGAATTGATGAGGATTATACTAATGCCTTCTTCTGCATTGTGTTATTCAGCCTTGGCCTTGGCACAGGCACATCTGCAATCAGACACTTATTTACACAAGAAAGAAGGGAAATGAAACGCAGAATGAGGAAGAATACTCAGCACAGTCCAAACAAGGACTGTACTCTGACAGAAGAAAAGATTGAAGCAAAAAAAGATGTAAATTGTGATTTAAGTGGGCAATTCTACTTATGCAGGAACTAATAAATATAAATATACTGTATAATAAATATAGATTTGTAAACAAGAAAACAATTGTCCAGAACACAGACCAGCTCTAAATCGTTTACTTTAAAGCACTTATTTCTAAAATAATGAAATGGTCCTTTGACCATTTAAATACAGTATAAGCACTGCGCATACAATTTCCATTCTCTATTTCAAAGTGAAACAAAGCTAAGGAATGTGAAACAATTTCTCACAATCTGACAAATACATGACAAGTGATGTACAAAATAGCCAATCAGAGATGCAGATTTGTTCCTAATATCCTGCAAAAAATATCTATAAAAAAGTATCTTCATTTTTATGTCATACCTGCCAAAAAGAAAAGCTTTCACTTAAAACCCCAAGCTACTGTACATGCATTCTGCTCTCTGCAGTTATTTTACAGATTGCTCACAAAACACTGACAGAGATGAGAGCGCTGGTCTGATTGTAACATTACTATACCCATCAGGAAAAAAAAATCTTTTAACAGATGCAATGTAATGAAAACAACAGAGAATCTAGGACAGTGCAAATCTTTAAACTAATGCAAACTAAAACAAAAATATATTCCCATGGTTCATTCTCTCATAAATAATCTCTGTATTTCTATTTCTTAATATTCCCCTCAGCCCTCAGAGATAATATATTTCTGGTTCCCTATCAGATATGAAAACAAATCTAAAATTAGAAAAAGTAGCTGACCACTTCAGTGACTCCTACGGGAAGAAGCACTCTTCTACACCCAAACTGACAATCCGTCAGTCACTTGGTTTCACCCGGCGTTAGAAAGGCTCACCTTCATGGCTCGTCTCCAGTTCAATCTCTCCTCCATAGTTCCCATAGCCCCCATCGGTGCGCGCTCTCACCCTGAACACATAGGTAGTGCCTGGCTTCAGCCCGTCCACCGTCATGCTGTTAGACTTGGTCTTCAGGACTGTGTAATTCTGATCTCTCTGATTCTGAGGGCACAGGCAGATTGAAAAAGCCTTTGAGGCCTTCCATTCAATTCCATGTGTCGATGCATTCCAGAACACGACACATCACATCAAAAGGAAAGAACTATATTAACTCCTCTTACCTGTCGTTAAGCTGTGACATAGATGGAAACATTTTTTAAATAAAAAGAGCCTTTATTAAGGTGTATAGGTTAGCGTTACAAGCAGGTTTACCCTGAAGAAAAATCAATATCCAACATACAGTACCCGTAAGGGAAATACTATTGCTTTACATAATTTCAATAAGATGCAGGATAGGAAGTTTGCATTATGAGTCAAGGTCTGCAGACCAATTTGCATGACTTATTATTTCAGCAGGTGAACAGCCACCATTTTAAGTCAGCTGTGGGATTTGTTTGTCCCGACATCCTACATTGTTCATCTTTGTGCAATGTTTAACAGCTGTTCTCCTCATTATATGCCAATAGGACACCTACAATTTAAGGTCATTCCTACTATTTAAATTCATAAGTCACTAAACTAATGTCCTAAAGATTATTCAGTCCCATACAGGAGATGCAATGGGGAAAACAGCAGTCTCATAGAGGAAACATGAATATAATGTTTCATTCATGAAGATGTCTGAAACACTGAGAAAGGGAAATTTCACTGTGTGAGAGCACATTCTCTGCAACTAGCAAAGTATTGTTTTCAGTCAAGTTCCTTTATAGTTATCACACACATCGAAACGGATGTTTTATGTATTCAAAATAGTATATTAATAATGACCTAAAGATCAATTATAAATAGGTGTCATAGAGAAATGTGCATCCTCACACGTGGTTCATTAGCTTTACATTAAACAGTATTTTTACAAACTCTTACAGGAAGTTGCATCCATCTGTTAAAACGGTGCTCCAGTTTAGCACTGAAGAGATACAGCCCAGCAACACTTTGTATTACAGCCTAAAAGTAAAAGAACATGTTGCCCATGCTTTGGTGAGAGTACTGATTTCGAGTACTGCAAGCACACAGCTCTTTACAGCAGCTGCCAAAAGCCACATTGCCAGGGACCCCATCTGTGTGCTAAATCTTACAGCCATATCTTATAATCACCTGCATAAATCAGCAGCCCTCCCCTCATTAAACACCTCCTCATGGCGTGCTTTATAACTTCCAACTTCTCACAGCAAGGTACTAATAAGGGGACAGACAATGGAGACTTGCTGGGTGACATCTAAACAGGATCAGGCTATATACACTGTAGTAAATCACAAAAATAGATTTTCTTGGAGGCTCTTTTAATGTGCGTGCATATAGTCCCAGACCTTCACCAAAACACATTTTTGCTTCATACACCACATTGTAAGATCTCATGAGCTGAACCACTAAAATGTAGCAGGTTAACATCATGGGATATCTATATGTATTTTAATAATAAATAAGACTTGGCCTTCGGTTATGAAGTAATGATACAGCGATGCTGTAATTCCCCAAAGCGTGATCAGACCTTGCGCCTCAATTACACAGGCAAAGACCGTCCATCTGTACATAATTGGGATTGCTTTTAATAAGGGTCAAAAGGCTGCAGTAGGTAATCAGTTGAAAAGGATAGTTTCCCATGTGAGCAATCAATAGACGCATACTGGAATTGTTCCTCTAATGACTGACCTTCTCATAGTAGATAACTTCATATTCCACAATGGCTCCGTTGGCTCTCTCTGGTCCCTGCCAAGCCAGTGTAATGCTGTCTTTGGTCTTCCTTTCCTTGAGGATTACATTCACTGCAACAAGGGGTAGCATAAGCAGGCTCTGTTTACTGGCTCGCAGGTGCTCAGAAATGTGAATTAATTGAAGCAATGGATAACGATAATTAAAGAGAGCCGGTGCTTCGGGGAAAGGATATTTTCAAATTAATTGTAAGAACAAAATAACGTGATTTGCCGCTTCTTGAGAAGTAGCAACTGGCAATCAACTGTACTGTATAGGAATGCGCACGAAAAATAGATTGCTCTTACAGAAGTCACTGCACTGAAATATCAGAAAATAAAATGAGAATAAAATGGTAAAAACATGGTTATTCAGCCCATCTAGCCTGTTTGGTGGTTAGCAGATAATCAATATCAAGGATATAAGTCTCATCCAGCTGTTTTGGGAAGGAAGTCAGGTTATCAGTTTCAACAACGTGGTTGGGCAACTTGTTTCATAGACCCATAACCCTTTGTGTGAAAAGGTGCCTCCCGTTCTCCGTTTTAAACGCACTTCCATGTCGTTTCCTCTGCTGGTTTGTATTTTATGGTTAATATTAGCTGATAGTCCTTGACTATACACGGAGTAAAGATGAAGAAAATGTGTTCTGTGTGCTAATTATCACACAGCAATGTGCCCGAGACACCATATCAGCTATACTTTATATCAACAATCCAACACTACACAAGCACAAGTTAACACTGTGGGATGACACCTAAAGTGTAGAATAATTGAACAACCTCAGCATTTACACAGATAGCGTCCTAATTAACGACCGCACGATTGCTCTTACAAATTGCTATCCTGTTCACACTTTTTCTGTGTCATCAGCAGCTTAACGACAGCATGGTTGACATTTGTCCCTTTAATAATTTCCTTTTAAGTAATAGTTTTTGCAACCTGTCTTCGTGAAGCTTTACTCCTGACATGCTCCTCTCACTGATGCTGACACTGGGTAATTAGCCACCCCTTAAATTTTAAATTACTCTCCGAAGCTCTTGTAAAAAGCTGATGATGCTTCATGCATATTTAAATCTTCCTTTCCTGAGGTTGAAAGGAGCCCTGTGATAATCCCCAGGTTACCAAGGCTACTGTGGTACATTAGCTATCACCCTTCTCTAGTTTTACCTAAAACTGTTGATTTTGAACAAAGGATTTTTATATTACAGAGTGCCTTAAAGTGTCACACTATTCAAGGGAGTGTGGGAAATGCAGTGGATTTAGAATTCAGAAAAAAGAAAGAACTCACCCAAAAAGATAAACAAGAAATTAAAAAGAGGAAGAACATAAAAACATCCCAAAACCCCCAAAAATATAAGTGGGAAATTTAGGATTATTCCAAAAAATTAAATATCACAAGGAGAGGTTACAGTGCACTGAATGGAAAGACAACATGAATACTTATCAGCTGAGTAATCTAAGAGTTTCAATACATGCTGTTATTTGTTGCTGATGATTAAAAAAAAAAAAACATAATGGATTCCTGGTAACAAATGGCATTTTTATTTATAATGAATAGCAATAAGCTTTCAGTTAGTTCCATTAAAATATTAAATTATGATTGATGAAAACAGTGGATATTTATTGGATACAACGCAAGGCAGGTCAGCCGTGTGTTACAGGATTGTGTTAATGGCGATATTTCAATAAATCAGCACTTTAAAAAAAAAAGAAAGACATGGTGTAGGATACTAAATCCAATGGGTAAGACCAAAGCACTCACTGCATGCATCACCTGAAAACCTTTCTGATCATTATCTGATGACCACCGGTCGTGCCATGCGGTGCGCGTCGGCGATGCCCACCTGTCTGGCTGGTGGTGACGTTGACAGAAATGTACTGCTTAGGGCTGGGGCTCAGGTCCGACACCCCGTTCAGCGCCTCAATGTCAAAGGTGTAGCTGGTGTGCGGGAGGAGGTCAGTGACCTGGGCTTTGGTGTACGCGAGGCCGAACTGGCGCGGAACAAAGTGCAGGCCGCTCCCGCACGGGCCGCACTCCCTGCTGTCGGCGGCGCACTTCCTGCAGTGGAGGCTGTAGGTGACGTCGCCCCGTCCCCCGCTCTCTCGCGGCGGGCTCCACTCCAGGGTCACGGAGGTCTCGTTGATGGTCGTGATCGGGTTCTCGGGGGCGGACGGCGGCCCTGTCGTGAGCAGGAGAGGGGGCAGGGGGGTGGAGGAAGGGAGAGACGGCTGGGTCATTGCAAACGAGCAAGTCAACGAGTACAGTTGGCATACAAGACGACCCAGGCCAAAAGGTTCAACAGTCAGTCAGTATTACAAGGTAGCACCAGGGCCCTTGATGAGAAAATTCAATTAAAAGTCTCTGGGACTTCACCTTTTCTGGTGCGTGAGGTCTGTTTTTTAATAAATGTCTTTGAAAAGTCACAGTAAGACACCCCAGGGCTAGCGATTTAGTAATATACAGTACCAGCACCAGAGCTGAAGAGTATGTGCTGAATGACATACTGTACAGGTGAGATCCTCTGAAAGGACAGACCTGGTTGGTACACGAGCCTCAGATTCAAATTTCTTTACGCTGGCAAACTTGAAAAAGAAAATAAAAAAAAAAAACATTTTTCAGCGAAGATGTGTTTCTGCTCCGTGGCTCCGAGTCTGTCAAAAGCCAGCGTGGCATCAGTTTGTGCTCTTGTGTTTAAAAAGCGTCAAATAATGAAACAACTTCTGCACCGTGACATTTGCCAGCTTCCTAGAGTTTTGACTTTCAGTAGGCTCCTGTGACTTTAATAAACAGAGACCTACTTTTGTATAGTAGGGGCAGAATATTTTTTTCCCTGCCAGTTTGCTGCAGTTGAACTTTTATATTCTTTGAAACATAAAAATAAATGTTACAAATATTCTCAGGTACAAAATATTTCACAGGAAGTGTTTTGAAACCTAAGGGAGGATCTTCAAGCATGGAAATTAATAACAGGTTTGACGTATTATTTTTTTCATAATCCTGGATTAATTAAGCAGTGAAGGCTCTTCTCTAGCATTCAGTATAGTATGTATTTCATGAATTAAAGTCGTTTTGATCTGGCAGCAGGAAACCTTTCACAGCAGTTAAGAAAATTATTAATACAATTTATTTCCATGTTAAATGTGTTATTGAATCGCACATCAAATTATAGTATGATTTATATTCTGTGAAATCATGATCACAAGTAGTTGAAATATATTCCATAGGTTTTGGAGCGAAACTGATTTTTTGTAGGATGGTGTCTACACCACTATACTGTTCCCGAGCGAAGACCTACTAGATCTTAGAACAGAGGAAGGCTGAGCAGTGTTAGGGATTCAGAGTGAAGGGATTCAGAGGGGAAAAAAGCAGAAGCTATTGACAGTCTAATAAATGGCACTTTAATGATAGTGTGCTATAGATTTCGCACTATTTCAAAAAAGCCTTTAACCCAGGGTTTTGTCCGTGATGTGACCATCATCAGGCTGTTCTTTTTTTTTCAACAGCATTTCAATAAATCTCATGAAAGCCAACAGAGGAGGAATCACCTTATTTCTTCTCTATGCTGATTAGTTCTCTGATGAAGCCCAGCCTCCTCCTTTCAAATCAATTCCCAAGGTCACGCTGCTTTACAGTGTTTACTGGTGCTGAATGACTGAGACTGCTTCCTCCAAGGACTGCCAGAGTGCAATCATTGGTTTGACTGGGAATGTGTTATGACTTCAGACTGTGTTCAGAAATCCTGAGGTGCAGCCAAATTTGCTCTGATATAGGCTCCGTTCAATCACATTTGCCTCCAAACTTATCTTTAACAGTTCAAAACCTCCAATCATTGAGATCTAACCAGACATGTTTAATTCCAGTGCTGTCTTTCTGTAATATCCACCCCAACCCTCAGTAAAGTAATATGCAATGCTTTTAACATCGTAGCTGATGTTAATGAAAGCAGTGCAATCTTGCATTTCCATGAAGAGTGGCACGATTTATGTCTGTACTTCAACACATAATTGTTGCTTGCTGGCAGTCAGCCCCTGCATAAACACATTTTCATGTCTTGCCCAGTGTTCTTAATGAGAAAACTATTTAATTAAGAATCTTTATAAAACAAACTCATCCTACAAAGAAAATCAAATCCTACTTTTTGTGTTGTTGTGAAACTACTAGCTTATTAGTTTTGAGATGTTTTTACAGTATATAAACATAAAGGCAGAACACAAATGAATATACACTATTAGATTCATTATGATGTTCTGAAGCAGCTCTTTCTAGAGTACAATGAAATGTTATGGTTAGCGAGAACTTATTTTTCTAATGTTTTTTAGGAAAATAAGATCAAACTTAGAGCCCCTTACTCAACAACAGGCAAATTAAACTGCCAAACAATACTGAAAGTGATATTATAGTCTCATTAGTGTTAAGAGTTCTTTTATTATTTTTAAAACCATAGTTTTATCAGTGAGATTTCAAGGAATGGTTCATGTAATTAATTAGTCTGGTTCATTCAGATAGGAATTATATTGCATTGATTAATATCTTGCATTGATATTAAGATCTTAATACTTCTGTTAGTTCAAGTGACAGTAATGCATATGCTTTTTATGTTTTAAAACAAGTGTCTTGCTGACATTCAAAAGTCAATGTTTTTCATTTTTTAAGACTGGAGCTGTGCAACAGATTCTCAGCAACAGATAAAACTGACAAAATCAAACTTTTTTGACCTCCTGCAAAATCTAAGGTGACGCATCTGGGAGCAGTATTTTATTTTGAACTATTTGAATCACATATTGAACACATTACTAACTGTCCTTAACTATCATCTGCTGAATATTGCTAAAATTAGATTACCCGTTTCATTTTCTGATGCCATAAAAATAATGGATGCCTTTACACCACAGAAACACCATGGACAAGACCTTCTGCTGCCTGTACCATACCCACAATCTCATTCTTTTGATTGCTACATAAAGCTCCTGACCGGAGGTGCGGATAAGGAAGTAGACCGACAGCTTTGTTAGAAAATTCAGCTTCATTGCCACGGTCCTGTTCCACGTTTGCATTACTGCAGCCATGCACTAATCCCTCACTGGTGAACAAGACCGGCAAAAATCTGCATGTAAATAAAACGATACATTTATTCTGATGCTCAGTATGTTTTGTTTTCTGTTTTGATTATGCTTTTTGGAAATAATCTTCATATCATTTTCTGTATTTTTCATGGAAATTATTTTGAGTTGTTCTTTCATGGAAATCACTACAAGAACAGACTGTTAGAAATGCACATGCCTCTCAAATGTTAAGATGCAATACTGTACCTAAACTGCTGAAGAGAGATGGCGAAGTATGTTTAGATTTTGCAGTCCATGATAAACAGAAATGGAGGTAAAATTCACACCCCATGGTAATGAAGAGCTCTACCCTTTTAGCACTGTTGTCTGATTGAAACCTTTTTTCTTTCTTGTTCGTACAGCAACCCAAGACCCTCATTAAAATCGTTGCTGTGCACTTTGGAGGCTGATGGACACTAATAGGCCAATAATACCACATCAGCCTGCCTGTAATGTCAGCACACCCACAGTGGAATGGCACATCAAGGAGCAGTTCTTTTTCTTACTTTTTTAAACACATGCAATTCTTCCTCCCCACTGAGAATCACAACAGATGTTTTCTGTACAGTAGTTGCTTTCACTCAGCACCCCCGGTTTATATCACTATCAGGAACACATTCAGAAACTAAACAAGGGGGAGAAACTTTCAACACTTTGATATACAGTTGGAAAACTGTAATAATAATTCATCACAGGCACGTCACTTCTACACTGAGTGTTATCACGGGAGATTGAGCAGTCTACGCTAGTACTTTCTTTGGACTTGTTTAAGAACTGTGACTTGAATTAACCATACTGTATGTTAATGCACATGATCTGTCGACTCTCATCCACAAACCTAAAATTGAACAAACTTGTGCAAACTATATAATGTTAGTATAAGGGTAAACAGAAATATACCCCTCTGCTCTATGGAAAAAAGATATGTACAGTAAACGTGTATGTATGTAACCTGTTACTTTATAAGGTACTTATGCTGTTTTAATATGTATTTGAAGTTGTTTTTTGAAAGCTATGGTTTAAGGCAAAAAAGTGAAATAAAAATGATGTTGTCCATAGTATGTCCTATACATTTCATTTTCAACAGACATTTCTTACTTGTGCAGGCCATAGCTCTTGGGTCAGTCTCCGCTCTGTAGTAGCCCCTCTCACAGACACACTCTGTGGCCTTGTCCTGGTGGGAGTAACTGTGAAGGGGGCACTTCATGCAGTAGGCATCTTGGGCAGAAGCTTTGTAGAAACCTGGTCTGCATGCTAAGAAAACAGACACAAAAAAAGGAGTCACAGAAGATAGGAAAATTATGCAATGCACTAAAATCTTCAAACTTAGAAGAATTCGACTTCAGCAGTCCCTTATGACATTAAGATGGCACAGGTATACTGTAGGTACATAGGTATGCAGTGTTCTGAAATGCTGAAAGGTTATATTGTAATGCACTTTGAAGGGCGCGCATCAGCAAACCTGTTCAATGACAGATAAGAGTGATACAGAGAAAAGTGGCAATAACCCACTTTTGGAGAAATAGAAATTTGGTACCCACCAGTACGACTGAATTAATTTTACAGTACATACAGATACAGTAATATGAAAAGATCATTGGAAGAATTTCACCAGGGCAATGCATCAGTGTTGTATATCCCTGAGGAAATAGACATTTCGATTTTATGTAAAATTCTGTGCAGTAGTAGAGGGATACATGACCCTTCAGATATACTTTTCTTATTAGAGAAGGTAGAATTGATTTGTGTTCTCTAAATCAGTTAAGCAAACTCTCAGCTGCAGTATTTATACTATAGGGATTTTATGCCAGACTACCAGACAGTCTACACAGAACAGTATGCCATTCCAGCAGACAAATATGATAGATGTCAGTCCTAATTATCCATAGCACTCGTCTGGTTCTTCCAGGTTGCCAAATAACCTTGCAAAGCCTTTATTTTCTGATGAGAAATCTCTAGAGACGAACATTAGGATTCATCTGAATTGCATCAACTGAAATAACTGGAAAGTTCTGTGAGCTACATGAAATGAACAGGTATCTTACCCCATAGAATCAATATACCCTCCTTCTCAGATCTTGGAAGTCATCCTAAAATTTGTTTTGAACTCTGGGACTTATTTAAATATGTATTCGTTGGAGATATAAAAAAGAACAGTTTTCTGTTCTTAAATATCCTTTATGTTCTGCAATACTGTATATTCGCCTCAAAACAAAAAAAAAAATAATTAAGATGGGCATCCCATCCACACCAAACATACCACGACATTAAATATGACAGTTTATTTCCACATTAATGACAACAATGTATGTTTCTCAATTTCTCATTTGAAAAAAAAATGTAAAATTCTTAAACTATACATTATACAGAGCTCAATTTCAGTAATAAAACTATTCAGGAAAATTGTGTTCACAACGAAACTTTTATACTACCTTAAAGATCACTTTCAGTTATTTATACTTCTATTTTTTGCTCTTTATTCTCCTGTTGTTTTTGAATCTGCGGTTTCAGGGGAGTACACTGACAGACAGTGCAGTCACTCTCCAGTCAGCGAGATGCTACAGTACATTCAGCGCTGATGTGGTTTCAAACACACTGTCCAGGGGATTTAGTTTCAAAGCTCTGATATGAACATTTAAGTGGGGAGGGAATGTGGATGGATGATTAGCCCCTCACTGTGCAAATCCAGGAGGAGATGCAAAACTGGTTTGGGCACCAACTCGTACACCACATAATGAAACACCTCTATTAAACCATTATGAAGAAATGCTCAAAGGTAGAGACGAATAGACATATATAGAAAGTCTACACACCCTTATCGACATTGCAATTTTTTGTGATATAAAGCCAAAAATCAAGACAAACGGGATGACTCTGTGGCTAAGGATCTGCGCCTGTGGCTGGAAGGTTGCCAGTTCAAATCTGGCGGCCGGCAGAGGAATCCTTCTCCGTTGGGCTCCTGAGCAAGGCCCTTAACCCCAGCTGCTCAATACTCATTGCTGTACAATGGCTGACCCTGCACTCTGACCCCAAGCTTCTCTCTGTCTGTGTGTCTCAGGGAGAGCAAGCTGGGGTATGCGAAAAAGACAAAATTCCTAATGCAAGAAATTGTATATGGCTAATAAAGTGATGTAATCCTATCAGACATTTTCAGAGCCCAGGAGCTTCAACTTTTTTGCAAGGAAGATTGGGATAAAACTGCAAAGTGCAGGTGTGCAAAGTTGATAGAGACTTATTCACAAAGACTTACTCACAAAGTATTAGTTCGGGGGGGGGGTGATGTAGGTTTTTTCATTTAAATTAGTTTTCCTAATAACTATCTATTTGTTTTTCTCTTGAATCTTGAATTTTGTTGGTTGCAAGGTTACATTAGAGATGGAAAAATGTCTGACATGATTTATCTTGATTTCTGGCTTTATACCACAAAAACCTGCATTTTCCATAAGGGTGTGTAGACCTTTTATATCCACTGTATATACATACTAATGCTCACATACTGTACAAATACATGCCAAATCAGCCTACTTTCTCCAAGCTTGGGCAAACGACCCATTTCTGCCAGCGCCCTGTGGAATACGCCTAGCGATTAGATGAAAAATCCAGAGCTTTCGCCCGTTGACACAGGAGAACCCTTGAGCAGCACATGCTGAGATGATAATGGTGACTGGGGGAAAAGCAGGGGCGAATAAAATAAATGCACCACAGACAGGCATTATTTAAAATCAGAGATTTCACACAGGGATAAAGTTTCTCTTAATATCTGAATGTTATTACAGTTTAAGACAGAGACTGAACGGACTGTTACTTCACTTAATGGGCTTTGTAATGAGGCTTTACAAATTTTCTTTGTGAAAAACAAATTTTCAGACCCATGCACAGTTTTCAACTACTTACACGTTCCATTTTATTAGAAATCAAATTCATTTTGTAAATTAATTTCTGCTTACTTACATATTGTGGAAAAAATAGTACTTTGTCAAATATGGTTGGAACTCCACGTGGTATTCTATGTTGGTTTATTGCTTTGAAAAATAATATTTTGTATACAGATGATGAGTGAAAATAAAATGAATAATTCTATTTTACATGTAGCCCAGCTAATGGCAGTAAGAGAACTCCAGAAATAAACAAATGTCACAAATGCATTGATACTGACTGATGCACTGCTGAATTGATGCTCATTTTTATTACTGTTGACTTGAGTTCTAAAGGTTCTGCTCAACCTTCAAAGGTTCTAAAACACTTCTCAAGCAAATGAATAAATAACTCAGTTTGTAACATCTTCTTGTACTTGTACTTGGCCTCACTATATCCCTCTTTCTACACCTACTGTATAGCTTTAATCTGGTAAAATATGGGGTTTAAACAGTTCCATTTGCTACCTGCCAGCAATGTTACATTTTTGTAAGAACAATGCGAAAACTACATGCAAATGCTGTACGTAACCTTTATATACTTTTCGGCATATGACCTATTTTGTCTTAATGTCAGACATCTGAATAATCATTCTTTAAAGGCAGGATGGTGAGGGTGAGGAGGAGAGTGGACGGAATTTGCTTGAGAAAAGAACTGCTTTGCAAAAACTCCAAATGTTCATCTGGCAACTAAAATGTTTACTCACACAGGGGAGGATTAGCCCGTCTGTTCTTTTCAAAGTTTCAGGCAAGCACAAAAGAAAGTGAGCTTCGAGCTCCAGGCTGTGCAGCACTTGAAGTATCTAATTAAGTGTTCAATTATTTGAATTTGAGGACTTGTCTTCAGGGCCTGAGCTTCACTTGGGCTACTGGGAAGTTTGGCCCAATGCTCAAGTTGCCTAGCTGCTTTCCCTGGCAGTCTTCCACAGGCGTACCTCTCTATTCCCAAATGCCTGGGGATTGCCGGCCTCTGCTGCTCTTGTACACATAGATCCAATGGGCTGTCAGCGCTGGCAGCAACCTGCTCCTTTGCTGTGAAATCTTTGCTTATTGAATAGTTGCTGGTGCCCTCTTGTAAACAAGTAGATTGTCCCTCACCTCGACCAATATATTGTAGCAGCCGCATGCCCTGGCCAGGACAAATGGGACTCCAGGGACTTTGGGTCTGCGGAAATTGCATGTTTCTTGATCTGTACAAGACGGCACGAAGGGTGGTTCTCAGAGGAAATAAAGGCACTGTCTCCGATGGCGGGAGATAGGCTATAGATGCAGACAGAAGGCACCCCTTGCATCATCTTTAACACCACCCCCAGGAACGTCTAGAAATAGGGGGAGCCCCTGTACAGACTGGCTGTTGGTGTAAGAGTCTTAACAGGGAATGCAGTTATGCAAGTCTTTGAGGGTTTGAGTCCCTGGGCTTCTCTCTAAATCCACTCTGCACAGTACAGTATATGCAGCTACGGTAGGTCTACTAGTCTTTGGACCTAATCATCTGTAGAACCCAAGGTTCTGCTCTTCTAGCACCTACCCCTAGCTCGACCCGAGCTAAGACATAACTGTAAAAGTAGCCAGATTGGTTAGCTTAGCCCTTCTAATGATTTCTAATTTCAGAACTCAACAATTACAAATACAAAAGGCCAGGCAGAAGCAGCTGGAGCAACACCGCTACCACTGCTACTCTAGACAAGGATGTCCCAGTCCTTGTCCTGACCACTGCAGTCCTGTTCACATTCCAAATTTTCTTAGACCAGCTAATCTCCAGATGTGCATAATGGAAACACAACAGCTTGAATTGTTTACTCATTGGACGTGTATATAAAGCACTGAGCTCAAGTCATGGGATTTTATACAACTCCAGAGTGCTCAGTGTTTGATATCTGAGTTGAATTCATGTGGCCAGATAAGTCAATTAAGAACTTTTCATAGAAAATTAACAGTCATTCAGAACTATGGGGTTTTAATTAATGTAAGAACAGCAAAACATAAGACCAAGAGCCACACTTGTAATGCTGAGTGCCTGGTTGCTAAGTGCATTTTTGAAAGTGGTCTATTTTGTTAGAAAAGTAGCATGAATAAGAAGCTCTGCTTCAGCACCAGTTGACCAGGTTTGTGACCGGTCAGGCAGAAGGTCACTACACCAGCCAGAAACTATCACATCCATCTGATCAATCTGCATCATTGTTTTCAGACAGCAGTGGTTGCAGTGCGACAAATTAAGAAACATCAGCAAAATAATTATTACTCGCCTTCTGCATGAAAATAATGTGCATGTTTAGAGATAGGCAGGAGATGGAATGGAGTGTTCTATTTTCCACTACAGTTTTGCCCTAGACAGACCTA